CTGTTTCTCCCCGTGTTTCTTCGTAGGTACTGAGGTTGGACTTTAGGTAAGGCCCTATGTAGGCGGGACTTAGAAACCCTGGGCGGCAGTTGCACCCTGTCATCTCAGGACACTGGGAGTCAGAATCCACTGATGGCAGTAGGTTTGGCTTTTGTTTGGGGGATGGCATACTATGTAACCACCACCATTAATCCTGCAGGAAAAACATGTTTGCAGCTTCTGGAAGCCAGCACCTTTGCCTACTGTACTGTTAGCACACACTTGCCATGTTCTTCTTGTAGAATCCCCAAGATTTGTTGCCATTACCCCACCAACAGGCATTCATTTCAAGATTTTCCACTAAAACTTACCAGTGTAGGTGGCATTATGTTCATCCACAGCTGAGGCTCGGAGAGGAGCTGTGGTGTCATAGTGGGTAAGGCATTTGGCTGCTAACCAGATGGTCAGTGATTCAGACCCACCAGCTGCTTAGTGGGAGGAAGATGAGGCAATCCACTTCCATAAAGATTTACAGCCTTGAAAACCCAGTGGGGATTGCTGTGAGTCAGAATCGATGGGACCACAGTGGGTGTTTTGAGACCTGGAGGGAAGGCTGCTTGCCCATGACTGCAGACCACGTAAATGATGGGGCAGGACTCACACCCAGGTATCCTGACACAGCATCACTTTGCAGCCAGAATTACTGCCTGTACCTCTCCTCCTTTTCACACATCAGCAAGGGGGCACTGCTCAGTTCAGTCCTCAGGGTTCCTTTTATTAATTTTTGCTCTGTATGAATTGATACTATCTATTAAAATAAATTTTCCTCAGAAAAAAACCTTACTTGGTAAACTAGGGAAAGGTTTTTGTGAAAAAATTAAAGAAGGTAGACACTGGCTGTGAGATGGTGAGGTGGTGAAGGTAGGCACCAGCTATGAGGTGATGGAGGTGGACACCGGCTGTGAGGTGATGAAGGTAGACACCGGCTGTGAGGTGATGAAGGTAGACACCACCTGTGAGGTGATGGAAATAGACGCTGGTTGTGAGGTGATGGAGGTGGACACTGGCTGTGAGGTGATGGAGGTAGACGCTGGTTGTGAAGTGATCAAGGTGGACACTGGCTGTGAGGTGATGATGGTAGACACCACCTGTGAGGTGATGGAGATAGACGCTGGTTGTGAGGTGGTGGAGGTGGACATTGGCTGTGAGGTGATGAAGATAGACGCTGGTTGTGAGTTGATGGAAATAGACGCTGGTTGTGAGGTGATGGAGGTGGACGTGAGGTGGTGGAGGTGGACACTGGCTGTGAGGTGATGGAGATAGA